TACTCTTTCTTGATCCAAACACTGCCTCCCTCCCCCAACCAAAAGAACAATTACTTTGCATACACCTTGTATTTTCATATCTCTTTATGTGTTACTTACCTTAGTAAAATACAAACACTTTAAGAGAAGGCATGGTTTTATTTTTGGTATATATATTTCCAAGGCCTAACGCAGAGTACCTAAGCACATAGCTGATGCTTAAAAATGCTTATTGAATTATATTGAATCATACTATCTCAAATATACCATAGTTTCAATTATTTCATATGTAAATGTTTTATCAATTACACAACAATCAACAAGTATTTATCAAGTTCCTATTATGTACCAGACATAGTTCTGGGGTACAAGAAAAAAGGATGAAACAATTCCTACAGATCTTAACAATTAGATTGCTCCAGGAGAGATGAGCTGAGTCAGGAGAAAGGAGCTTAAGTGTGATTCTGCAGCTAACTTATTATATAACTTACTTCTCTGTGTGCAAAGTTATAACTAGCATTTTTTTGTGCCCTGGGCAAACATTCATAAAGATGATCCAGGCAAGCAGCATAATATAAGTACCCTGAAATCAGCTTTTAAAGATGAATTCAGTTAGGTTTGAGTGAGAGGTGACAGAGGCCCTGGGACATTGACTTTCATGAGCAGAGACCCCCAAAATATAACAAGATTGATTGGAAGGGTTTTTTTTTTTTTTTGAGGGAGGGAGGCAGGAAATAGCTGCCAGGAGGAGGAAGTTAGTGCTATCTAATAGCCTCCTATTTTTTTTTTCCAATTTTTAAACATTTTTATTTAAAGTTCTGAGTTCCAAATTCTATCCCTCCCTGAGCCAGTAAGCAATCAGATATAGGTTATACATGTGCAATTATGTAAAACATTTTCATATTAGTCATTTTATACAGTAGCTTCCTATTTTAACTAATTATTCTTGGTTAGACCAGAGTTCAAATCCTGCCTCAGACATATTCTGGTGGTGTGACCATGGGCAAGTCACTTAACTTCCTTTAGGCTCAGTTTCCTCTTCTCTAAAATGGAGATAATAATAGCATTTGCCTTCCAGAGCTGTTGTAAGGATTAAATGAGTAAATATATATATGTGTATATATATGTATATGAGTGCTTTGCAAACTTTAAAGTGTCATGCTTTTATTATTAGTGCTATTTAGGTTCTGAGAGAGGTGAGTTGGATAGTCTTTGAATAAGGCAGAACTCTCCTGACACATTACTATTGGCCCTGTGACCAAATCATTTAAACCCTTAGTACCCCAGGTCTTAGTGGACCAAAAATGTCTGAGCAGTTACTAATCTGCTTTGGGTAGAGCAAACAGGAGTTTCTGACTTCAAAGAAATACATCAGCAAAAACCAAACCTCAAAAAACCCCTAAAACCCAACCCCCAAACTCTAGATTTTAAGCTCAGTTGTTTCTGTGCTTCTGAAAGATTGAATTTGAGCATCTTAGGGCACCCATTACAGTGCCCTGGTAATGGCTCTATCAGACTGTTTCCTTCCTCTTTTGGTCCAGACTTTCAGCTCTAACCATCAATGAATTTTTAAGTCTATTAAGGCAAGGATTTCATTTTATAATTCTCTACTTATCTCATATATTAAAGAAAACAATCAGATAACTGGGCTGGGTAAACCTATAAAAAATAACAGGGGCCTATCTCCCCAGGAAGACTCATCTTCCTGAGTTCAAATCTGGCCTCAGACATTTACCAGCTGTGTGACCCTGGACAAGTCACTTAACCCTTTGTCTTCAGTTTCCTCATCTGTAAAATGAGCTGGAGAAGGAAATGGCAAACCACTCCAGTATTTTTGCCAAGAAAACCCCAAATGGGGTCACGGAGAGCTGAATATAACTGAAAATTACTGAACAATAACAGCAATCTCTCAGACGTGTTAACTGATGAGTCCAGAATTTGAGAGTTCTATCTCCTCCCTCTTCTACCCCCCGCCCCAATCTTATCTCATTCTTTGAGGAATAAAGGACTGGGCTTGTGGGTTGTGATGGGACAGTGGTTGATTTACTGAACCATAGACCAGGAGGGGGGACTCTGAGCCTATTTTCTGTGCTCTCCCCACTAGATATAAACAGCTAGAAGGCCTTTAGCCAGGAAAAGAAGACTAGGTACAGGCAGTTGGCATAGGCTGACTATAGAGGGGCCCTCTCTGGGTCAGAATAGAGGTAGTCAGCCCCTAAGGTTATAGATCTGAAGCTGGAAGGTATCTTAAAAGTCCTATGTTTCAACCCCCACACTTTACAGATGAGGAAACTGAGGCCCAGAGATATTAAGGATCTTGCCCAATATCACATGGGTTGGAAGTACCATGGTTAAGATTTGAACTCAGGTCCCCTGTAACTCCAAGTTCACAGCTCTTTCCATCCTACAGCCTCCAGCAGAAGACTCTGGCAAACTTAACATCTCAGAGAGGAAAGAGTTAATGAGACAAATCTCAGACAGGTCTCTCTGCCCACGACCCAGAATGGGCCCAGAAGAGAGAAGCTCTTTAGCTGGGTTGGGAACCTGGGTATCCAAATCAATTGTCAGGTCATCTCCTTTCTTCCCAGGCTCTGAGTCTCATTTATGGAACCCTTCTCTCAGTTCTGTCCTTCACTGGATGGGACCCATGTCTATATCCAAAAGCTGAGAGTCAATAAGAATTCCCTAAGGAGAGGATAGAGGGCAGTATAGAATGCAGGCAGTTACAGGCAGTGTAGCCAAAATTCCATTAATATCTGTTTTTATTGTGGTTTTAAAAAAATTAATTAGTTTTTAGTTTTCAACATTCACTTTTATAAGATTTTGAGTTCTAAATTTTACCCTCTTTCCCTTCCCCTCTTCCCAAGACAGCATTCAATCTGATATAGGCTACAGTACAATCATATTAAACATATCTTATTGTGGTTTTTTAAATGTTTCACTTTTGCCCTCAAATATTGGTTCCTTAAAACAGATTTTTCTGAGATCAGAATAAAGAAATGACTCTAGAGACTTCCAGAACCTCTTCCCTCTTCAACTTTTTGACAGCCTCTAGCACTTATCACAGTGCCTAGCGCAAAAGCTTATTGACTGATTGACATTATATTTAAGGTTAGATTGTTTCTAGGTATTGATTAGTTTTGCCTTTCCCCTACCCTCTTCTTTCTTTTTTTCTTTTTTCAAATTGTTTATAATAAAGGAAGTCCCTCTGGGAGAGGGAATGGGGAGAAATACAGTGGAAACCTAAGCAATGTAAAAAAAAAAAGATATTAAATGGTATTTTAATTTTTGCTTTTTAAAATTATGATCCTAGGTTGGACACCACCCTCTGTCCTGTAAGCCTGGGATAGGAGGATATTCATCTCCATCCCAAATCCCTACACTGTGGAATGTGAAACGATGGAAAGCAAATTGGCTGGAGTGTTAGAGGACCTGGGGTTCGGACCCACCTCTGACACTACCCATGTGACCTTGAGCAAGCCCCTTCATATGTCTTGGCCTCAGTTTCCTCATTTGTAAAACGAGGGGGTAGGACTAGGTAACCTCTACGTCTCTTTCGGCGTTAAAGCTATGATTCTACGATTTTTCAGGGATCATCTGATTCCTATGCCCCGGGCTTGGCAGGGAAAGCCTTCTTGGGGATCTCCAAGCACGCTTCCAGGTAAGAGTTCATTTCTAGGGGGCAACTAGATGGCTCAGTAGACACAGTGCTGGCCCTGCAAGTCAGGAGGACCTGAGTTCAAATTCAGTCTCAGACACTTACTAGCTGTGTGATCCTGGGCAAGTCACTTAACCCTAACTGCCAAAAAAAAAAGTTCATTTCTGCCACGCAGCTCTGAGAGTAAGGAAGGAGGTTAAAAAATATCTACTAATTAGCAAGGCAACAAGACCCATATCCAGAGCCATTTGGCCCGAAATTCCCAAGCGCCTAAGTGACAGAGGTTGGAACCGAACCTCAGCTCAAGCTTCCAAATTCCCCACTACCTATATGCCCTAGGACCGAGCATGCGTCCAGTGACTTAGAGTAGAACCTGGGGCGGGGCGAGAGGCTGTTTAACTCTTCATTAGGTGCCCGGAGGCGGGGGGTGGAGGGAGGCAGTGGAGCAATCTTCTGGGGCCCTACAGCTGGAGATCTGGGAGGGCCTTAAGTTAGAGCTCATCCATTCTCTCCGAGTGGATAGTTTAGGAGCCTGAGGCTCAGAAAAGGAAGTGATTTACCCAAGATTACCTAGCTAGTAAAATAACAGAACTAGAATTCGAACACAGGTCCTGGGACTCCAGGCTCAGGGCTATTTGCCCTACACTGCCCTCTCCCCCTGCGTGCCTGAAGACAGGTCACGTTAGTCTTCCTGCTCCTGGTTCTAGTCTCTCTTTGAAGGCCAACTCTTCCTATTTTTGAAGTATGGGACCCTGATGTCCCCAGCTGTCAGGGTTCTGCTAGAACAGAACTTCCAGTTCCCTGAAGACCTGGGTTCAAATTCTGCTTCAATAGCTCCTGGACAAGTCGTTAAGCTACTTTGTGCCTCAGTTTCTTCATCTGTAAAACAGAGGGGGTTGGATTCAATGGCTTTGTAAGGTCCCTTCTAGATTCTTTGCATGTGTGTGTCCCAAATCTTCTCACCCACACTCCTTGGGAGGGATGGGAATATTGAAGTAGGGAGGAAAAAGGTGAGGGAGTCATTCAACCTTTTTTCCCCCGTAGCCCTTAAGTACCCGTCCCCTCCCTGAAGCCTGGTAGGAGGGTGGGCATGACGAGATAGTCCGAAGTCTTTGCTCATCGCCCCTTTAAGAGATTCCCTAAATACCAAGGGAAGGTTTCGGGGCTCAACCCGCCTCCTTCCCCTCCTCCCCTTTCAGCTCCTTTCTCAAAGCTGGGAAGCCAGTCTCTGGCCATGCCCCGCCTAGCCTCACCACTCGGGTTCCGAGATTCTGTCCCTCCGCCCATTATTCCAGCTGAAGGCCCCCACCCCCGCCCGACGCGCGCCCCCTCTCTTTTTCTAGGAAGCATTGCCGCTTTAAGAGCGAGGAGAGATTGACAAGCTCGAAGAGCCGCGGAGAACAGAGGCAGAGCCGGAGCTGCTAGGAGCAAAAGACTCCCCGGGGCGCAGGTAGGCGTCCTCCTTCCCTCTACCCTTTTCTTAGCCCTGGGCCCTTGTACACAGTGCTAGGGCTCTGTCTTCTTCTCTGCCCTAGTGCATACTCGAGATGCACAAGATTAGACTCTAGTCAAGGGGGCGCTGGCACCCCGCTCATGCCACCCCCTCCCCATACCGACAGCCCCCAGCCAGTCATCCATCTGGCCCCTCCCAGAGGAATCTTCTACCCCAGACCCTTTTCTCAGGGCTCCCTGAGAGGGAGGGAGAATATAAGGAGAGGGCTGACATCCCATGTGAGCCCTCCTCCTTCAGTCTGGCCGTCTTCCTGTTGATTCTCCTTGCCTAGGACTCCAGAGGGATGGGGATGTAGGGGGTGGCACCGGGAGACCTCCCCTAGCCACCATGCGAAGGGCTCTGAGGTGACGTCAAGAGGCACGGGTGTTGGGGAGCTGATATCTGAGTGACATCTGGGGCACTGGGTACCCCATAAATGCTATTCCAATCAAGATTGTCAGAACATTACGTTACATAAGGGTCGCCTTGCCCCATCTACCCCGCCCTCCCCCCAATCCACTCCATCTCCCAGGCTTGGGGGAGAGTAGAGCTTGATGGAAGGTGGAAGGCAAGGGATAGAGACCACTTTGGGTGCCCTTGGTACCTTGTGTCCTCCAGTGAGGACGACCCTGCAGGGGCAGGTTTGCCTCCTGGTGCCTTTGGGGTTGGGAGATTGATTGATCTCTATTGGGAGTGGAGCTGGGAGATGGGGAGGCTATTCGCAATTACTTGGAATGGGATGACCAGGGAAAGTGGGAGGGGGGATCAGGGACCCAGGACTGGGGGTTGCTGAGGGGATACCGCAACTGAGGCGGGCAAGGACTATGGTGTGACCTCATCGGTTCTTCTCCCTCAGGCACTCAAGATGCTGTTTCTTTTTATCGTGCACAACACTCGCACCCCCTTCCCAGGTCCTAGTGCCGGGAGTGTTTGGAGGTTGGAGGAGTGGGGGGAGCAGTAGGAATGGGAAGGAGAGGGAGCGGGGACTGGGACAGGGGAACCTGGCGGCCAGTCTGTCCTTTTGACAGTGGTAGCCAAGCCCTCAGTCCATGTGACCTCGGTCAGTTCAGCTTCTCTTTTATCTCTGTTATCCATGGAAAGGAGGGCGGGTATAGTAAGGCCATTCTTTTCTCTGAGTACCCTCTCCCCTTCCAACTTCCCTCCTCTCATTCAGGGAGTAGCAATCAGAAGATTTAAAAGGATCAGTTATTACTCCACACTTCCATTTTTTACAGAAAAGGCAACTGAGTCCTTTACAGAATGTATAGGGATCTGGGAAGATGGCGGAGGTGGGGGTGGGGGTGGGTTCAGGGTAATGCTTATCTCTCCCTGTTACAGGGAATTCTCGGAGAATCACTTGTAGTTGAGACTTCTGAGACCCCATCCTATCTCATCTTTCCTGGGGCTTTAGCATCCCCAAACCTGTTAATTTCCAGTGCCTGAAGCATTGGTGGTGGTGGTGGTGGTAGAAGAGGGTTTTGATGCTCGGAGGTGTGGCTACAGATTGGGGAGAAGGTGGAAGAGGGCACCTGTGCCTGACTTTCTCTAGAATGTGGAAAACATTTTCCCAGCTGTGTTAGAGACCCAAGACTTTGGCACTGGACCAGGCTGACTGGCTGAACTGGCATTGAGGTTTCTGCTTTACCACAGCCCTCACTCCACTCCCTTGGGAGGGTTGGGGCTGAACTGGGGGGTGGAGGGGGGCGGGAAGGAAGAGAAAGGGAATTGAAATCGTGGGAAACAGCCTTCCACCCAGAACGGATCCAGCACTTGGTGGGGATAGGCCAGATAATGCAGGGGCACGAGCTAGAAGGCTCTCTTCTCACCCCCTGCCCACCCTTAGCACACATGCCTTTTGGGGAGGGAGTTATCTTGAGTTACCTTTGTATTAGACTGGCCCATCTCTAATCAGGTACCACCAGCTGGCAGGTATTGGGGAGGTGAAGAAAATTCCAGTGGGAAAGTAGAACCAGGAAGCAAGAGTTATCTCCACTGTACTGCAAAGGGGGGGGACAGTGTCTGGTATTCTGCCTGCTGAAATGAGGTCTCCCCAGATCCCGCCCAGGCTGAGTATTGTCTTGAGAGCCCTTCTTTCTCTGGACCTTCTCTCCAACCATACTCTTGGATTCCTGGGAGCAGAGAGGGGCTAAGAAGGGTTTTCACGCCTCCTCCTGATTTTCTTACAGTGCCCAGCTGAGCATAGGACCAGCTCAAGCCCAGAGAGGCCCACTCTTCTGGGGGTGGAGAAGAGAGCTGGAGTGACCAGATAAGTCTCTGAAAAGATTTTTTTTTTGGGGGGGAGAACATTAAAGTTCAAGCATATCTCTTCTCCTCTCCAGGACACAGAACACACTGGGCATCATGCCTCACAGTGGGCATTGCCAACAGGCTTCTGAGTTTCTCTCTAACCTGCGGGGGGGGGGGGGGGAGGCCCAATTCCCTCATCCTTTCTGTATGAGCCACAGGCTCCTGTTGCCATGACAACTGGGAATTAGAGTTTTATCTGGCAGCCCAACCCCTCCCTTAGAGCTTTGGTGGGGGAAGGAAAGATGATCATTGGGTATACTATTCCCATTCTCTTCTGCCTGAGGGGAGGTGTGGGTGCCTAAATTCTCCCCTTCTCTACCCCTGTCCCAAGTCTGTTGAATTTTTAAAAAATCCTCTGGCACAGGGTGAGCACAGGCCCCAGACTGTGGGCACCTGCTAGGGAGGGCATCAAAGGGAATCTGGTAACTTCAGGCTTCATAGATGACTATGACTCTACTTGCTTTAATTCTTCACGTGGTATCACTCTATTTCTGTTAGAGTTTATAGAGGGCTTTGAGATCTTGGAAGGGCCTTGGAAAGAGAGAAGACAAAGATACCTCTCTGATAGAAAAGTTTACTTTTGTGACAGTGTGGGGGGCGGGGTGTAGGTTTGCTCCCAGCTGCCCTTTCAAGGACCACAGAGAAAATTTATCTTAACTAGATCATAGATTTAGATCCCGAAAGGACATTAGGGCCCATCTGGTCCAACCCCTTTGTTTTACAGATCAGAAAACTGAGGCTCAGAAATTTGTTCTAGGTCACACAGGTAGTAAGTAGCAGAAGCAAGACTCAGATCTAGGTTCTCTGATGCCAAATCCTGAACTTTCTCAGATCTGGGTTCTCTAATGTCAAATCCAGAACTGTCTCAGATCTAGGTTCTCTGATGCCAAATCCAGAACTGTCTCAGATCTAGGTTCTCTGATGCCAAATCCTGAACTTTCTCAGATCTAGGTTCTCTGATGCCAAATCCAGAACTGTCTCAGATCTAGGTTCTCTGATGCCAAATCCTGAACTTTCTCAGATCTAGGTTCTCTAATGTCAAATCCAGAGCTATCTCAGATCTAGGTTCTCTGATGCCAAATCCAGAACTCTCTCAGATTTAGGTTCTCTGATGCCAAATCCTGAACTGTCTCACATCTACGTTCTCTGATGCCAAATCCAGAATTATCTCAAATCTAGGTTCCCTGGTGCCAAATCCAGAAATGTCTCAGATCTACCTTCTCTGATGCCAAATCCAGAACTGTTTTCTTCACACCATATTGTCACACTGACTTGCTGTCTTAGTTCACCTTCAGGTTCCCTTTATCTCCTCCTCCACCACATTCCCCCCTTTTCCCCACAGACAGACAGGGTTTGGGATTCTTCTCTAGGGCAGTGCATTCTGCTTCCTACCCCTAGCACATCTCTCCTCTGTCTCTTATTGCATCATGGGGCTGCTTTTGGGGGTCCTGGGCTAGAGTATCAAGAGAGGAGAGTGATGAGTGGCAGACATCCTGGGTATCAGTAGACCCATCAGAAGCTCAAAAGCTTCCCAATATGGCAATGCCTTGTCCCTCCTTTTCCTTTTAGTCCAACCCCTTATTTTTCTCACCATCTCTTCTCTCTCTCCACAGGAGAACTGCCTGACAACCACAGCTGTCCTCATCATGCCAGTTGCTGCTACCAACTCTGAGTCTGGTAAGGGGGTAGGGTGTCCCTTCAGTTAGGACTCTTCTTTTGTGGCCATAGAGGGCATTAACAGTGGGTGCAAAGGGGATGAGGAAGTCCCCCACCTAACAGTGTCCAGAATTTGGAGACTAGTGGTAGCCAGGCAACCACTTGGGCAGAACATAGGTGCCTGTGAGAAGTGGCACCAAGGAAAGGCAACAGTCTCCCCAGAGGCAGCCTGGTAAATCCCATGTTGTTGTTATTGTTGTTGCTGTTCAGTCATTTCAGTCGTGTCCCCCATGTGACTTATGACCCCATGTGAACTTTTATTTGGCAAAGATACTAAAGTGGTTGCCAGGAAACTAAGGCAAACAGGGGTAAATGACTTACCCAGGGTCACACAGCTAGTAAATGCCTGAGGCTAGATTTGAACCTAGCTGCTCAGGTGATGGATTAGGGGGATTTAGGCCATTGGACTCTCTTCCCCCAGGAAGAGGGCAAATTCAAATCTCCTCCTCAGACTCATTCATTCACTCGGCATTTGTTCCATTGCCCTATACTGTAAGATATACAAAGATACATCAAGTAATTCAATACATTTAACAAGCAAACATTTATTGTGTGAAAAACACTGAGAAGGAGAGACAGGCCCCCTACCTTTGGACCACTTCAGACTGGAAAGGGAGATAAGGTATATACAAAGATAAATATGATACAGAGTGAAATATGACAAGTACTACAGAGAGATATAAAAAGGCATGAGAGATCCATGAGAAGAGGGAGATTACTTCCAGCTGGGAGGATTAGGGAAGGCTTCCTGAAAGCAATAGCATTTGAACTTCAGGGGCCTCAGGGTGAATGGGATTTCAAAAGATGGGGGACAGGTTGGGGAGAGGGACCAGGGAACATAAACAAACCCATGGAGGAAGGAAAGCATGGTCCAGGGCTGGGCAACCTGTGGCCTTGAGGCTACTTGTGGCCCTCTAGGTCCTTTTGTGTGGCCTTTTGACTGATTCAGGTCACACTTGAGGACCTAGAGGGCCACATGTGGCCTCAAGACTGAAGGTTCCCTGCCCCTGGCATGGTCCATACTCTAGGAATAGTGAATAGGCTCATTTGACTAGAGTGTAAAGTTCTCAAAGCAGAAGACTATAAGATTAAGCTAAAAAGACAGACTAGAATCACATGTTGGAGAGCCTTGAGTGCCAGGCTAAGAGTTTGGACTTTATCTGTGACCAATAAGGAACTGTTGAAAGCTTTTGAAGAAGGAAGTGATGGGATCCATGTTTTAGAAAGAATTTGTCATTTAGTTACGTCTGACCCCGTTTGGGATTTTCTTGGCAAAGATACTGGAGTGGTTTGCCATTTCCTTCTCTAGCTCATCTTACAGATGAGGAACTGAGGCAAACAGGGTGAAGTGACTTGCCCAGGGTCACACAGCTAGTAAGTGTCTAAGGTCAGATTTGAACTCAGGTCTTCCTGACTTTAGGCCTGGCACTCTATCCACTGCACCATGTAGTTGCCCTTTAGAAAGAATCCTCTGGTATTAGTATTGAGGATAGATTGAGGGTGAGAGAGACTTGAGGTGGGGACACTGGCTATTCTAATGTGGTAAAATACAGTCCTTCACTTCAAGGATCTTCTAATCCGGTAGAGGAGATAAAATAGTTTCACAGATAACTACAATACAAGGTCTGTGTGGTAAATGTCCTATGAGTGATAGAGATAAGAGAGAGACAGAGACAGAGACAGAGAAAGACAGAGAGAGACAGAAAGACGGAGACAGAGAAAGGGAGAGAGACAGAGAGACAGAGAGAGAGGGAGGGGAGAGAGAGAGAGACAGAGAGACAGAGAGAGGGACAGAGAGACAGAGAGTCAGAGAGTGAGACAGAGACAGAGAGAGAACGGGGAAAGGGGGGAGGGGAGAGAGATCTTCACTGAGGTGGTCAAGAAAAGTATTAGGGAGGAAGGAGGGTTTGGGCTGGATCTTGAAATCTGGGTAGCTAGTCAACTAGTATTTATCAAACATCCACTATGTACAAGGCTAAGAGCTGAGGCTACAAAGAAAGGCAAAAAGCAATCCCTCTCCCAAGGAGCTCATTGTCCAAGGAGGGGCTTTTGTCCAGGGGACTGTGGCAGAGAGGTCATTCTAGATAGAGGGAAGGCCATGAGCAAAACGCTGAGGTGGACAGTGGAGAGACTGTCTGGCATAGAGGCTTCCTGTGGAGGAGGTGAAGTTGAAGAAGCGCTTTGGGTCCATGTTGCAGACCTTAATACCAGACCAGAGGATTTGGGGGCTAGGAAGGACTGAGCAGGGAAGTTAGTGGCTCAGGCATATAAACCACTGCTCGAATAAGGACAAGACCTACTACCTTCCCGGTCTTATGGGGGGTTCACCTGCCTTAGTGGCACCACTCAGGAGTCCACCTAATCACTCCTCTCTCACCCACCTACCCACCCACCCAATAGCTCTGTCAGTCCCTGATGCCAAAGCTTGCCCTGTGCTTAGTATAAGAAATAGGGAAATTATCTCCCTCTCCCCCTACCTCATTACTAACAGGTCTGAGTGAGATTGAGGTGTATGACCGTGATTCTGCTCACTCAGCCATATACATCCATAATAATAGCTAGCACTTTAAGGTTCTCAAAGTGCTTAATGTATATCATCTCATTTGATTCTCATAACATCCATGAGAAATGCTATTAGCATCTCTATTTTACAGATAGTAAAAACTGAGGCTATGAAAAGCTAAGTGACTTTAACCAGTGACTTTAACTCTGTCTCTAGACCAACTTTAACTTAGTCTGTGTAACCAGGGTCACATAGCTGGTAAGTCTCTGAAGCAGAATTTGAACTCGGGTCTTCTTGATTATTAAGTCTAATGCTCTCTCCACTGGACCACCTGGTTGCCTCATTTGGCTTTCAAGCTCTGACCCTTTGATTCCAAGCCTTATATATAGATTTTCTCTTCTTGGATACAGATCTTGGGCCTCCCCTCTTCCCTGTCCATACTGGGATTGGTGCTGGCTCTCTGCCACTGAATGCAGCAGTACAGGCCTGTGTCCTGTGCCTCAGGGATCACACTGCCTCACCCACTTGGGTGCCCCTCGGTTCTGTGCCCACTTCTGTGCCTGCACTCCTTTGCCTCCCTCCTGGTGCCTTTGAGGGCTCTTCTGTAAGCTGCTTATGGGCTAATTAAACCCATCCCCCTGAGCTGATGATTAGGGACAGTAATCCTGGACCGTCCAGTAAATCCATTAATGGCATGGGGAGAAGAGAGTGGGGGTGGGGTGTCATGGCCAGGGTGGGTTGTAGGCATGCCAGAGGTCTTGATCTCTGCCCAGTGAAGCTGAGGCAGATTGAGGACCAGTACTGTCCGATAGGGGTGTGGCAGAGCTGGGGAGGAGCAGACCACAGAGCCAAGAGAAGGGGGTGGTGGAAAACTCCGTCACCTCCCCAAACACCTCCCATAAGGGACTTCTTCAGGGTTCCTAGAACAAGGTCTCAGAATGGGGGGCTTCCAGCTCTGTCCATTGGTCTTGGGTTAGCAGGAAAGAGGAAAAAGGGACATTTAGGAGGAAGTATGAACTCCTCTCTCTGGGTCCGTGCCTTGAAACTAGTGCTACCTGGGGGTCCTTTCTTTACCTAGAATCCTAAACTAATGGTGCCATGGTGGTGGTGAGATCCCAGGATCCCAGATCCAGGACAGTCAGCTAGTCCAAACCCCTCATTTTGCAGATGATTAAACTGAGGTCCAGGGTGGTTGATAGACTTGCCCAGGATCAGACAGGTAGTAATAGTGCTAAAATTTGAACTCAGATCTCATGACTCCAAACCCAACACCCTTTCTGCTATGCCCTCTCACCCTCAACAGTTTGCCCTGCCCATTTGAATCATAGGATTTAGAGCAAGAAGGGACTTTTGTTGTTGTTGAGTCATTTCAGTTGTGTCTGACTCTTCATGACCCGATTTGGGGTTTTCTTTTTTTTTTAATTTTTTTTTTTGCTAGGCAATGGGGTAAGTGACTTGCCTAGGGGTCACACAGCTAGTGAATGTTTTGTGTCTGAGATCAGATTTGAACTCAAGTCCTCCTGAGTCCAGGGCTGGTGCTCTATCCACTGGATTTGGGGTTTTCTTGGCAAATATACTTGAGTGGTTTGCCACTTCCTTCTTCAGTTCCTTTTACAGATGAGGAAACTGAGGCAAACAGGGTTAAGTGACTTGCCCAGGGTCACATAGCTTATAAGTGTCTGAGGCCGGATTTGAACTTAGGTCCTCCTGACCCTAGGCCCAGAGCTCTATCCACTGTGCCACCTAGCTGCCCCACTGTATTTTTCACTGCAGGCTTATTAGAAATAACAACTTGGGGGGTGGGGAGTAGAGTTGGGGTCCAATATTCCTGTCTATCTGGGGGAGGGATGCTTCTTTATTTAACTCTTTTCTACCCTGCCCTTTCTACTCTATTGGATTATCTAGAAAAATATAAGTGGGCTCTGCTATTTCTTTTTGTCTTATTTAAAGGCAGCTGGGCTTCTGGCAGACAGCAGCTTGTAAAGGGTTAAAATGAGCAAGGCCCCTGCTCTGCCCTACTCCCCCCTCCATAATATCCTGATATACCCCAGAGGTCCCTTCCCTGGTCCCCTCCCTTCTCTCTTTTTTGATCCCAAAGAATTTGGGGTCATGGTTTTGCCTTTTCTCTTCTGATGGGCATGAGTGGGTGTGGGAGTGCCATGGGGTAGGCTTCTTCTTGGTAAAAACCCCTGCTGTTCTGGATTCGTCCATCTAGTCTCCTTCCCTTCTCTCAAGGTTATGGTGAAAGGGAGAGGGGAGGGGGAGGGAAACTTGGGGTCTGCAGGACTGTTTCCAGGCAGTGCTGTCCCTTTAAATCTGCTTCACATCCCTAGGTTAATGTCCTAATGTATAATCCTTCCTGCTGCCATGGCAACCAGGGGTGCTGTTCGACCCACTGCCACTCCTCCGGGAACAGCAGCAGCACCCTGGTGACCGCCCTCCCCGGGCACCTCAGGCATAGAATGAGGAGAGAAGGGCAAGGAACTGGCAAGAGCTCCTTCATCCTTCCTTCCCCCCACACCCCTTCTGGATGGTGAAAGAGAGGAATTCACCCTTTCCTCTTCCTCCATTCCAAAATGCCAATCATCGTCAGACAGGCGGCCCCTTGCCCATCTCCCAGGGGAGGAAGAAATGATTGAGGAGGAAGACTGAGGACTGAGTTTGCTGATTTTGTTGGCTGGGAAGGGGGAATTGGAGGCGGAGCTCAATTAAGCCCATCTCTGTGCCAGACTCAGTACCCATCAGTCCTTGGCAAGAGCTGGGGGGTCATTCCTGGGCCATCTTCTTTGGCTGGGTTAAGAGCAGAGAAGATCAGGGAATTGGGAGGAGGTGAGCTTGGAAGGGATCCTGGGGTGGGAGAGGGTGGTGGAACAGGAGCTTCTGGAGCTGTGGTGGGGGCCCCCTGGAAGTGGGGGATTTGGGGATTTGGGGTGTGGGATGTTTCAAGGGAAGGGAAGAGGAAGGAGAAAGTGAGGATGAAGGTCCCCCTCCCTCTCTATGACTAGGTCTTCCTGTGCCAGGTTTGTGGAGAGGTGGGGCGGGGAGGGGGTGGTCCTCTGGGCACTGTGCCAGTCCTGGGGGGTGGAACCATGCCTGTTTTCCCCAACCTCCTCACAGATCTAAACGGGGGAGAGGCTGCCCCTTAGAAGAAGAGACTCCACATCTCCCCCCGCCTCCTCATTCTAGCTTCTGCCAATCAGGAACGCCCCAGAGGCAGCTGAGCTCTACCATTGGCTAGCCCCTTGGAGGGGCTCCTGGGGTCCCTCCTTCCCCAGGCTTAGTACCTTCAGGTTGGGAGGGTGGCAGACAGCAGTAGCTACTGCAGCACTCAGGGCTGGGGGGCAGGGAACAGGAGGGGGCCGGGCAGCTATGGCGGGCAGCCCAGTCAGCGGTGCCTCCTTGGAGGGCATATCCCTGGGCTCCTCGGAGGAAGCAGAGCTCCGGAGGGAAGGTAGGGGAGAAAGAGGTGGGATTGGGGCTGAAGGGAGCGTTGCCAGATGTGACCACCCAGAGCAGCCATGAAGGCGGTGGGGGCAGGGTGCACCCTTCTCCTGCCCAATCTTCCTGGGTCAGAGGAGGAGATCCCTTTCTCCCTGGTCTATAGAGGTTGGTGAAGGTGGCATCTGCTGTATCTGAGTAAGTGGCATGGGGACTTGATTAAAGAGGGAAGCCAGAGAGGTAATTCTCTCTCAGCTCTTCTGTCTATGACCACCATCCAATCCAATCCAACCAACAGGCATTTAAGAGCCTACTATGTGCAGGATATTGTGCTAGGAACTGAGGATAAAAAGACAGAATGGAAAACCAGCCAATGCCATTAGAAAAAATTCATCATGGGCGGAATACACCTTACCCTTACTCTCTTGAAAAGGTGTGACCACTTCAGTCTTGGATGTACTAGGGATTGGTCAGATTCACACAGACAACTGGAAAGGAAGGCTGTTAAGCCAGGGAGAAGGACCTACCCCTGAGGAGTAGTGCATTAAGAGGGAATGGGGGCATGGAGGGATAGCAGGGGAGATCTGAGCTACCCCACCCAGGGGCACTGGCAAAGTAGGTGGTGAGGCAGTTCACACCTGCTCCTTCTTTATCTGTGCAGAGTATTTCCTTAGTATTTCAGAGTTGAGGGAATCTAGCCCAACCCCTTACTTATACAGGGGGGCAAACTTAGGCCTAGGGAAGGGACTACTGACCTGTTGCCCTATAGCTGGTAAGTGGCAGAGATAAGGCTCAAACCCAGGTCCCATGCAGCTTCCCTCTGGTATCTGTCCTGGGATGTGGCATGGTGGTGATTGTGAATCCACAGAATGAGAGAAAAAACCTAGAGGTGGCATAGGGAGACTTAAGGTGCATCAGGTCTAGAAACCCTAAAAAATTAGGGAAACGGGCTGGATGAGAAAGGCATTTCCAAGGAAAATGAGGCAGGGAGGAGAGGGAAGGGGAAAAGAGGAAAGTGGGAGAGGGGAGGTCCATTGCTGTCATCCTGATCAAGTCACCCACTGACTCTGTGCCTTAGCCCCCATTAAAGGAGGGGAGCAGTGACAGGAGCAGGCAGGGGTGCCAGGGGCTGTCTCCACGCCCCTCCGCTTGGGTGCTGGTGCAGATGCTGGTGTGGGTGGCATGGTGGGGCTGGGTAATGATACCCCCTGCTCATCTCTACTCCCAGCTGGGTACACCCAACTTTCCCCCCTCTCCCTCATTCTGAAACTTGCTTCTTTCCTATGCCCAGCCTGCATACACTCAGCTCATACCTCATGGAGCACGGTGAGCACGGCTGGCACATCTCTGGTATTCCAGTTGTCCTCACACATCTCCTCATGTTCATAGTCATGTCTAGGCCATGGCTGAGACTTGGAAGTGTACTTAGACAAGTATATTCTCCAGTCCCTGTGCTGATTTAGACTGCTTTCTGGCCTCTCTCCACAAGTGTTTAGAGTCACATACCACCATGGGCTTCAACGTGTCTAGACACGCCGGTCCCCTGCAAGAGCCAGGGGTTTAGAGTGGTCACACGTGCTGTTGCTGGTATCTGTGGGGTTTGGGGGAGGGTGAGAGGGAAAATGGAATTGGAGTCGAGTCTCTTTGCTTCTGAGCCTCAGTATTGTCCTCTGTAAAATGGTAATTGGCATTCAAATCCTCACAGATCTGTTGTGAGGAAACTACTTTGTAAACCTAAAAGTACTATATGAGTTACCATGTGACCATTAAATATACAGATGATGCAAGTTATTCAGGTCCTACTATTCCTACATATACTATATGAGTGCCTCCTCAGCATCAGGCCACATCCTGGGGCCCCTGCAGAGCATGGGCTGCCCTATTGGAGTTCAGCTGAGAATAGATAGGAGGAAGGGGATCATGGTGGGGGGGGGGTAGGTTAAAATCCAATTGACCATTACTCAGTGAAACCCTGGCAGAGATGCCTGCCAACTCTGCCTTAGTTCCTGGAGCCACGTGACTCTGTAGGCAGAGAATGGATCTTGGAATCTGACACTATTCCCTTGTACCTCCATGTGGACACACCCAGCGCGCGCGCACACACACACACACACACACACACACACACAGAGTTCCTCTTCTGACTGTGTTAACAGTCTTTCATCTGCTATACTTGGCATCACTCTGGGAGGTAGGGGTGGGGAGAGGGACCACAGGAAGTATCCACTTTTCCCACTAGCCCTCATCCCTGAGACCAGGAGGACATCTTCAGGGTCCAGGTATATGTGTCAGGCCCATCTTTTCCTATACTTGAGTAGCAGGGGTAAGCTCCCACCCCTATGGATATTTTAGAAAGCTATTCATTGATATCATTTCTGCCCCTTGGACCAAGCTTCCCCATTTGGTCTCAGTGGACAGCTAGTCAGAAACCATTTATTTTGCACATACCACGTACCAGGCAAGGTGCTAAGCTCTGGGGAGACAAAGGAAGGCTACTGCCTGGTTGCCTATGCTCACTCTCCTGGAAGAGGGCTGGAAATGTGGATATCCCCTCCTGCCCCTTCTGCCCTAGGAAAAGGTTGCCATGCAGTCTGACCCAGTTGCCCCTTCTACCCTCCTGGATTTGCCACCCACCTCTCTTCTGTTCTCCCTTTCCATCTTTCCACAGCTATGCAGCAAGTCCTAGACAACCTGGGGACCTTTCCCAATGCCACGGGCGCTGCTGAGTTAGACCTGATCTTCTTACGAGGAATCATGGAAAGTCCAATAGTAAGATCCTTGGCAAAGGTACAGTTCCACAGGGAGGTGGGCATGGGGGTGTGGTACACAGGGTAGGGGACTGGGGTGGAGAACTCAGTCCTGGTCCTAGGAGATAAGCTTTTGGATGTGCTACCCTGTGACCTTGGGAAGCTCTGCATTTCAAAATCTGGACACAGGGAGAGCTTGAGATGATGTGTGTCTACACTCATTCTTTTTGTTTTTTGTTTTTTGTTTTTTTGTGGAGGCAATTGGGGTTAAGTAACTTGCCCAGCATCACACAGCTAGTGTCTGAGGTCGGATTTGAACTCAGGTCCTCCTGATTCCAGAACCAGTGCTCTATCCACTGTACTACCTAGCTGCCCTGCGTGTACCCATTCTTGAGGCATGAAGTTGGGTGATTATAGGTGGAAATGCACCTCCCCTAAACCTGGCTTAGACAGTTTTTGTGGGGATCAGTATAATAACTGATAATTATAATCAGTTTGTGTAATAACCCTTCTTAATATGTGGCTGGGTGTGCTTGTGTCTATGTATGTTTCTATGCATTTGTGTGTCTGTCTGTCTGAAACCTCCAGAATTCATCCCAACGCCCCTTACCATCTTTGGACCGGTGGACTGCCTGTCTCAGAGTTCTATCTAGGCACAGCTGGCATCACCCAGGGTGGCATGGCTGTGCAGCTCACCCCAGGATGGGGCAGCAGGGAGTCTATCCCCTTCCTGCCTTCTCAGAGACTCTTTTGATGGGTCTGTAATCCCTGGAGGGGACCAGACCTCTTTAGCTGCAGTGAGGTGGTGAACCCAGAGACTTGGGTTGTCATTGTGCCAGAGAAGTGTATGTGAATGGATACGTGTGCAAGCATCTGTAGTCTACAGGTTAGAACGTCAATGTATTTGGCCAAAAGCCTACAAACCTTCCAGGAGCAAAAGTTCCGATACAAGGTAGGCCTCAGGGGAAGCTTCATAAAAAGCAGAGACAGCAAAATTCAGAAACGAGCAGAGTTAGACTAAGTTCCCAAGCGTGGAAATGAGTAGTGTGCCAGAGTTTATTTCCTATGCTATATAATCGAAGTCACCTTGTGAATGAACCTGTCCCACCTTGAATGACTTTTGCCTTGATTTCTGAAGCAGCTGGTATAGGGAGAGCCTCTTAAAAGGTTCATGTTATGTTTGTGCCAAACAGTAAATGGCATCGATTTCCCAGAATTATTCTTGAATACCTGCTGGTTGGAATTACACACCGGGAAGATTTGGGCAAGGTTCCAGAGACACAGGGCAAAAAGAAAAGAGAGTGGGTGGGTGTATGGGTGGCAGGGAGACTCTCCAGGCCAGGTGCTCCACAAATGTAGGTTTGCTGGGTTAGAGGAATCTGATGGCATCTGCCCTGGATCTTGGCAGTGGGCCTAGTCTGGAAATGGATAACTGTGGAGATTTGTCTGAGCTTGGAAAAGGTGAGATTGACCAGGGAGAAGCAACTATCTGTTCGTGGTCACTTTTAATTATTCTATACCACTTGGAGCAATATGGACTTTAATATAGTCAGTCTCAGGCAGGGCATTTTGAGCCAAAACCTAATCATGAAAATTAATTAGTGCCTGCTTGAAAAGTGACCTGGAAATCTGCATGCTTGGGTTGAAGTGGAAGCACCCTATGGGAGTGATACCTGGTGTTACAATTCTGTGCTCAAGGTTAACTGGGTGGCCCAGAAGAGCCCAGGGCTTGGGCCTAGAATCAGGAAGACCTGAGTTCAAATCTAGCCTCAGATACTTAGTAGATATGTGACCTCTGGGAGAGGCACTTGTCCTGTTTGCCTTCATTTCCTCATCTATAAAATAGGGATGAAAATAATACCTTCCTCCCAAGATTGTTGTGAGGATAAATGAGATAATATTTGCAAAGTGTGTTGCAAACCTGAAAGCACTATATAAATGCTAGCTATGTGCTATAAATGCTACGTGCCCTTTGGAAGAAGCTTTCAGTTTCTTAAAAAATTAATTATGAGTACACATCAGAGAGCAAAAGAAAACCTAGAAGGAAGCACAGAAAAACTGGGTTGCTTTAAAAACAATGTGTAGGATTTATTACATGGGTTCTTGAGAAATGGAAATGTATTGTATATTGAATCCTCTTTTATGTTTAGCTGTGTAGGTAGAAATGTTCTTTTTTTTTCTTTTCTCATTTTGTATTTAAATTTAAAATGAATAAAATTTTTTTAAAAAAGGAAAAAAATTATTTATGGCCCTGGAAACATAGATTCTATCTGAGAGGAGTATGTTTTCCCCTCTTACTTTCTGTGTAACCTTGGGCAAATCACATAACCCCCTGTACCTCAGTTTCCTCATTTGTAAAATGAAGGAGTTGAATTAAATGGCTTCCGAGGGCCTGGAGTCAGGAAGGCTCCTCTTTCAGAGTTCAAATCTGGCCTCAGACACTTGCTAGCTGTGTGACCCTGGGCAAGTCACTTAACCCTGTTTGCCTCAGTTTCCTCATCTATAAATGAGCTGGAGAAGGAAATGGCAAACCACTCCAGTATCTTGGCCAAGAAGACCCCAAAAGGAGTCACCTAGAGTCAGACATGACTGAAATGACTAGACAGCAACAACACCATCTCTCAGAGCGGCCCGTTGCATCTTTGGATGGATGCTTCTAATTGTTAGAAGGTTTTTCTGACTTCAAGGCCCTACTGATGGCTCCTGGGAAAAAAATAACACATCTATCCCCTCTTCCATGTGACACCCCTTCAAATACCTGAACAGTTACCATGTGCCCACTGGGTCTTCTCTTTTCTGGGCTAAATATTCCCAGTTTCCCAATATTCCTCACGGAACATGGACCATCCTGGTTGCCACTCTCTGCATACTCTCCAGTTCATCAATTTCCTTATTATAATAAGGCACGTTGAATTGAACACAGTATTCCTTATGTGGTCTCAGCAGGGCAGAGTGTAGAAGAACCTTCCTATCCCTGGAAGCTCTGCTCCTCAATGTGGCCCATAACTGACTTAGCTCTTTTGGTTACCACATCACACTGATGACGCCTGTTGAACTTGTGGTCCACTAACCCCCCTGGATCTTTTTCAAACAAATTTTTGCCTATCCATACCTTCCTCTATCCTGTACAATTGAGGCTGATATTTTGGACTCAAGTGTTAGTTTGTTGTTCAGTCATTTCAGTCGTGTCCGACTCTTTGTGACCCCATTCGGAGTTTTCTTGGCAGAGATACTGGAGTGGTTTGCCATTACTTCTCCAGTTCATTTTACAGATGGGGAGACTGAGGCAAACAGGGTTAAATAACTTGCCCAGGGTCACATAGCTAGTTTAAGTGTCTGAGGTTGGATTTGAACTCAGGAAGATGAGTCATCCTGACTCCAAGCTTGGTGCTGTCCACTGTGCCACCTAGCTGCCCAAATGTTAGACTTTACATTTATTCCTATTGAATTTCATCTTAATAGATTCATCCCAATGCTCTAGCCTGTCAGGGTCTTTTTGGATCTTGATGCCATCATCTATGTGTGTAACTGGCTCTCCTAGCTTTTTATGAGCCTACCATCTTTGTCTTCATCTATTTCCTCATTTAGTCTCTCTTTCCCTGATAATGAGATAGTGGATAGTCACATAGTATATACAGACCTGGCCTCAGAACCAGGCAGACCTGTTCCACTTCTTTCACATGGTAGCAATGTGACTCCCGGTCAGGTCAGTTAACATCGTAGGGCTCTAATAATAATCATAATTGCCAACCCTTATACTGCCCTTTAAGGTTTACACAGTCTTTTGTCTATTATTTTCTTTCTTTCTTTCTTT